TGTCCATTCATTTAGTCACTTTTTTAACTGCTTGTCCATTTTAGGGTCTCAGAGCCTGGAGGTTATCTCAGCTGTCACAGAAACAGGATGCTCCCTGAGCAGGTTGCCAATCTGTCGCAGGGCTGGATAAGTGAGACAGACAACTGTACACTCTCCCAAACTCACCTGTGGCTAATTTACACTCACCAGTTAAAATAACAAGCATGTCTTCTTAACTCTGAGAGGAAGCTTGAGTACATGCAACATGCAAATCCACACAGAAAGGCTCTGTTTTTCCAAAATGGTCAGAAAAACTGATGTATATCGAGATCTGTGTGCATAACTTCCAAACTGTAAAGTTACAGAAGCTGGATGCCATAAAAGCTCAGAAAATCAAAGGAGGTTTTATTGTTACTGAAGCCAGTAAATTGTTTTAATGAGGTGTTGAGCTCGCTACAAATCAGTTTGCTAATGGCAGCGGCTGTTTTTGGCTTTTCATTGTAGTGAGAGACTCTGTTTTAACTGTATCAATCTGACAACACTTTATAATAAGCTAAAAGCTGTAACTTCTCTGTAATTAAATGGAATTTAATTTTCAAATATACTGTAGATTAATTAAAGTAGTCTTTAAGTAATTTTAAGTAATGCCTAAGTAATTAGGTAGTAATTCAAGTATTGCATAACTTCAGGTATTTTACAGGAAAGGATGCACAAGTTTTTCTGTCAAAAATTTTAAGTACAAAAAGCAAAAATAAGCAATATCTCCCCATTTTAAATACGCTGTTAAGGGCGCAGCCCATGTGGAGTGGCTTATCTAACTTCCAGGTATTTCACAGACACTGCTTACCTCTACACTTTTTTGACAGTTATGTTCAAACAGTTTATTGTGAAAGGAAAAAAAAAGTTAGACTTGGCTCCATCATGATAAAGTCACATAGGCCTGCAAATCTTTACATAATTTATTTATTTATTTTTGGAAGTCGGTAAGGTAGAACAGTCCTTATCACATTTATATTGATCAAATAAAAGGATAATTGAATAATAAAACATCATCGAGCAAAACAAGACAATGCATATTAAATAAATCTGCAAAAAGAAAAGAAAAAAACGTAAAGAGACAAAATTAATCGGCTCCAATAATACATCCTGTGACCCAAAAAGTATATTTGTGATATAAAATAGGGAAATATTGCTTGTTTTTCTGGAAGAAATTACCATAAAATTGCACACTACCTAAAATTATTTTTGCAGTACTTTACTTACACTATAATTATTCATTTGTTTTCTGTAAAAACTAACCAGTTACCTCTGTATTCTTTAAGTATTTGTAGCTAAATATAATTAATTTCAAATAGAATACACTGAAATTCCATTTAATTACAGGGTTGATTACACTTTTACCTCCTGGCTGTATTATAAAATGTTACCACTAGTTCAGTTAAATTTGTTGATTGCTGTTCTGTCTCAGGGTGTTTTTAGGGAAACTGGGTTCAGAGCGAGAGTTAATGATGACTTAGACCTCTAAAGTAGAAAAAAGGTAAGCCTTTGAAGAGTCTGCTCATACAGCACAGAGACGGGCTGGGTTTGTGTTTCTCTTTAAAATATAATTGAGTGGAACTCTACAGAGCATTCATTCAAGTCAGAGCAATTCAGGAAAACATTTGAAGAGTGAATGCAGAGTTTCCATCCATAGGACTGCATACTTTTAACAGTATTGTGGTTAATGTGATGCATAATGTCCAACAGACATTCAGGACACAGTTCTAGGGTTGGTAAATGCTAAATGGACTTAGTTGCTCTCTACTCTAACTAAACACTCAAAGCTTTTTTTCTTTAACTAGAACTCAAATACACAATCTATTCATACAGTTATAGCTTTATTATATTGTATATATATTTTATGATTGATTTTATTGGTGCTTCTGTGGTTAGCCCTGGTTCAATTTCAGGAGGAGACACAAGCTCAACCTCAGTGGGGTCACAGACCCAGATAAATGGGGGGGTTGTGTCAGCATAAAAGCCGTGCCAAATCAAACATGCGGATCCATCTGCCGTGACAATCCCTCGGGCATTAAGGGGACAGTTGAAAGTACCTCTTATATTTATTTATCACCACATAAGAGTGACATTATTGGTAGAATTCAGTAGCCTGTGTGAAAGGATGAAGAGAGGTAGGAGTGCAAGAGATGATCAACTTCCAACAGACACAGAAAACCCCCTGAGGAGCAGAGGGCAACAGGAGAGAACGAGCGAGAGTGAGAACAACAGGTGTGTGTTTATGAGGACACTCATGCCCATCCATTTTCTTCCACTTATCCAATTCGAGGTCCCTGATGGGGGTCTGGAGCACATCCCAGCTGTCACCAATCTATTGTGGTGCTAAAACAGAGACACTGACAATACAGTTCAATTCAATTCTAAGCAATTTTAATTATATAGCACCAAATCACAACCACTTTGCTAATGTTTTAGTAAGGACCCTGCAATATTACAAAGGACCCCCAATAATCAAACAACTTCCCTATGGGCAAGTACTTGGCGACAGCGGGAAGGAATTATTTTTCAAAGTATTTTTCATACTTTTAAAACACATTTTCACCAGATTATATCTTCATTAGATTGCTGCCTTTAGCTTTAAGCTATAGCTCCGTGTTTATGGAGGCAGGAGCTCCGTGCACATTTAAATGATTGTGTGCCACCCCATTTTTGAGGTCTGCGGGGTCCCTCTTTCTGCTATGTTCCTGTAGGCTGTGTTCTCTAATTATGTCGATGACATGTAGCTAAAGAGTTTACCCCTTTTGCACCACAAGATGTCAGCACTTAGTCAGAGCACCACTGTCTTGTAACTGATAGCTTGTGCCATTCATTGTAAACGGATCCAGTCACTGAGCAGAGTGGCTGAAGGGACAAGAGCGCGTTGAGATAACGAGATGCAGGGAACAGGTTGCATCACCGCCTGCATGCTACAGAGCTGTTTGTCAGCCCGTAAATATTGTGTTAATGACCAGTTCAGCTCGTGAAATTTACACATCTCGCCCTCCCCTAAACGGTGTGAGCGTGCGTATGTGTGTGTATCAGATGTGTGTTTGGCTCAGCACATCTGTTTTTTTTCTCTTCTTCTTCTCTCTTTTTCTCTCTTCATCCAGTTATGATTCATGATACCTTAAATTACACGTTATATTATGTTCACTGCCCTGCCAAGATTTTAAGGGAATCAAGATGAGAGAGGGGGGCATTGTGAGAAAACAACCTCAGCTCTTTGAAGCAGTTTCAACCTCTTCCAATGAAAAACACGCTCGGAGGTTGTTTTTTTTTTTTGGGAGGGGGGGCTTTTTATCACATCCCTGAATATGTGATGCTCGAAGCATTTCATGATGATAGGAAACATTATACTGAAGAGCCCGCACGTTCAACCCATTTCAAATGCGGTATTTGCAGTGGTCAAAAAATCGTGAGCCCCCCCCCCCCCCCCCCGACGCCGGCACAGCTCCTGCCAAATGATGTTATTACACCGGCCCTTCGGAGTCTGTTCAGTCTCCCACTTTCTCATCTGCGATACAGACAAATAAAATCTGTACAATGGGCGTTTTTGTTAGATAGCAGGGTTGTAATTTAATTTTTTAAAAAGGCCTTGTTGATTCCCAGATTTTACGCGTTTTATCATAAAGAAAAGAAGAAAGGCTTCATAGAGGGGGCCCCGGGTTTAATGTTGCATAGCTTTTTTGGTGACCCTTACAAAACAATTACCAGAAATAATAACATTAATTTATAAAAAAGAAAGAAAAGAAAAGCGGAGGCCATATTTGTCACTGTAACATCGGGACTCATTCATCGCCACCTGAGTTCATCTGACAGCGTCTCCTCCACCGTCGGTCCCCCAATAAGTGACTCCAGCGCGTGCAAGCTCGGGAACCGTGCCGCCCTGAGAGTGGCCTACCTTCAGCTTTTGTAGTGATTTGACGCTCCCGCTCTCGCCTTATTGAAACCACACATTGCGCTCGGGCCTGTTTCCAATGTGAAGACATGCGTGATGAATTTGGGAAATCATCTGCAGCTTTGCTGGTACCGTATAGCCCACCCAGTCCGGACCCGGTCTCTCTCTTTCTCCCCCCGCGCCTCCCCTCTGCCCCGGGGTATCAATACGATTAGAGGCAGGAAATGTGGGAATCCCCAACAAAGGGCTCCATCATTAAACACAAACAACCAGAGGCCTCCCAACAATACCGAGAGCGCCCTCCTCTCCACACTTCTCTTTTATGTCTGAGCGAAGTGAAAATCTATTACTTTCATCCCAATATTACCAGTCTGCGTTCAGCTGCGCATTATTAAAGAGGATAATCTGGCGAGGTTATGACGGATTTATAGGTGTTCAAATGGAGAGCAGGCGGTGTAGAGTTTCGCCCAGCAGATTACGCAGACTGCACATCAAATATTGTTTCTCCCTGCATTTCACACGTGGTCACATCTAGCAATATGTCCCTGAGAGAAACGAAAGAATTCAGAATAAAATTCAGAATAAAATAGATATATGTACATAAATAAATAAAATAAGATATGAGATATAAAGGGCGCATAGTCTCTTCTTATCGTTTATTCAAGGAAGGCGCTCATGCAAGGCAACAAATTATTATTTTCACAGCTGCCCAAAAGCAGTCATTCCAGTGTTGTACGTCTGAAAACGTGTAATTGTGAGTCAAGTGTGCATAAAGTGCGGCTGCAGGAGACTTCGAGAGGGATTAGGGTTTAAGTCCTCGCCTCGCGTAGAGAAGTGTTTGGGGATTTTCCCTCTCACACTTTAAATTATAATCTGATATCCTCCCTCCAAGGCGTCAGCCGACAGATTCGGAAATATAAATGTGTCATTTTGGTGTAAACTGACTTTCCATCACCACCGTGCTTTAGATTTGATCGCTTTTGCTGTTTTAGTTGGAAAATAAAACGAAGAGTGGAAAAAAATACAAATAAAAATATTTTAAATTCTTTGTATTTTCAGTCAAATCTCATTAGGTTCCATACAGAGTTTATTAAAGACTGCTTCTAGTGTCGAAGAACATACTCAAACTTTAATATTTTGCGATACAAAATTGTGATTTTAACTTATAGCCGTGAAAAGGTCACGCATCACACTTTTCTCCAATTAACGTCTTCTGGTGTATAAAAAACACTCTTACTTGTTGCATTTTTTAATATAGTTGCCAATGTTTTACGCAATATTTGTGAAATTAATTTTCCGTGGAAACTTTATTATTCCGCTCCAAACGATCTTTCCTCTGATTTCCTCGATGGATCTCTGATGTGTCCGCGTGGACTTGGCACTGATGTGCTGATGATGAGAGTGCACTGGCTGGATGGCTGGTATAGGCCTCTTTTGTCTTTGCGCCTTTGCGCGGTTTTCATTGGTCAGGAACCTTTCCCTCGTGCCTCGACGTGACATCACAAGCACCCGACCAGCAGGAAAGCAGGAGAGTTTACAGATGGTGCTGGACATCTCCGAGGACGCACGCACTTTTACGCACAGCCAGTCCTGGCCGCTTTTTTTGCGCTAAAAGTTGTGAAAATAAAAGGATATCAGCGTAGATGCTTTGCGGTTTGGAGAATCTGAAGTAGGAAGTGGACTTCTCTCGGATCGTGTTTTTGTGAATGGAGATGGGCCGTGCGTAAAAATCTTTTCGTCGCCTTTGAAAGAAGAGCTCTCGCTCTCCCACCTGTTGCCAGGTGGTATCGGCTTTAAAACTGCGGATATCTACTATGACATTAGGTTTGGAAATCATGGAGGATATTGTTATCGACGTGGTGGGGGAAGGACTCAAAGACAGCGCAGAGGAGCAGCTTTTACCTTTGGATGAGTCGCGAAGCGAGCACGAAGACGGCACGGAGACGTCCAGCAGCCAGAGTAAAGACAGGGAGACCTTCAGCCCTGCGCCGGCGTGTCTCCCTGCTCCTAAAACCAAAGGTCCCGCGTCGGTGAAGCCCCCATACTCATACATCGCTCTGATAACCATGGCCATCCTTCAGAGCCCAAAAAAGCGGCTCACCCTCAGCGAGATATGTGACTTTATCAGCCACCGCTTCGTTTATTACCGGGAGAAATTCCCCGCCTGGCAAAACTCTATCAGACACAATCTTTCGCTCAATGACTGTTTTGTAAAGATGCCAAGAGAGCCCGGGAACCCCGGGAAGGGCAACTACTGGACGCTGGATCCCAACTCCTCCGACATGTTTGAGAACGGGAGCTTCCTGCGGCGGAGGAAACGCTTCAAGCGGCAGCATTTTCGCTTCGACCCGCTCAAAGAACAGCACCTGGAGCCCAGCGCGCTCCACGGCTTTCCACACAGCGCCTACGGGCTCGGCACCGCGGCCCTGCAGCTGCCAAGTCTGGAGATTTACCCCTACCTCCATCACCACGCGCCTTCGCAGTGCGGCCCCGCCACCATCCCACCTGTGAGCAGTATCCTGCCGGCTCTCTCCAGCTTCTTCTCGCGCAGCGCCCTTTCAGCCAAAGCTTTCCTTCAGTCTCAGCCGGGCATCGACGCTTTCTCGCCGGCACAGTGCACAGCGTATTCCTCTCCTCTGACCTCCAGCGCCGCATACGTCTCCCCCGCGCTCTTCCACCCGGCGGCTTCTCCGCACTTCCTCAGTTTACACCAGGAGTACCAGAAACTACAGACTCAGCGTGGCATCGGCGACCTGGCCAAACACATCCACACCAACGATGAATAATCCCCCCCACTCCCCTCTCCTTAAAGCGGACTTTAATTTGTATTTTCTCAGGTAAACGGAGACATTTGGAGCAGATGCTTGCAGTGGAAATTGGATGGATCTGTTTTTGTTTTTTTACAAGAATGTTCCAGAAATGCTCAAAACTTTTCCTCGATCTCCCCAACTTCATGGCAAAAACAACAGACGCCCTTTAAAAAAAACCTGATCATGAATTATCATCTTTTGTTTAAATATTTAAATGACGAGTTTCCTTTACGTCTTTTTTCTGTAAAGAAATAAAGCTGAGTATTTAAACCTTGCGTTAATTTGTATTTTGCACACATGCATGTCAGGAATCATGCTTTTTGAAATCATTTAAATGTGCGTGCACGGTTTTGTTTGCTAACAGCTGTTATACCTGTTATTATTTTTATCTCTGGGTTTAAAGGGTTTTATATTCCTCGGTTTCATTTTTATCTAAATTCAAATTATTCATAGTAATGTTCAGAGGGGCAGAGAAAGTAAGCAGTCAAATTGACCTACATTAAATCAGTGCGCAGTCTTTTTTAGCCTTATGTCTTACACGCTCTCATTTTAAACACGTGACTCTCTTCTGCTTTAAATAACTGATCAAATACAAGCGAAGGTAACACTCGTAATTTTGGGATTTTTTTTTCTAATTATGGGTCTCCAAGATCTTTTATTATTTATTTAATAATCTGATGTAATATTTAAAAGGAACAGTGGCTTGTTAAATAAGAAATGTCATTATTTTTCAAAGTAATGGAGAAAAGCAACATGATGTTAAAATAAATAACAGGCGGGTCGAGGTCAAAGGCACTTTGGATGGCCTCGTTTTTAATGCGCTTTAATAGAGAAATAAGAAAGGTTCTAATCACACCAAGCTTTTAAAGTAAGACTTAGCGCATAGCTTATATTTATATGTATAAATATGTATAAATAATATTTATACAAGCTGTGGTGTGTGTGTGTGTGTGTGTGTGTGTGTGTGTGTCGTTTTCATAGCCATAACGCTGAAAACATACATGCCAATAATAATTGGCTTATTTTGCAGGACCACACACAGAAAATGTGTGCAACACATTTTCATGTCAGATATTCATAAAGGCTTTCTGCTCATTTACTGACCAGAGTTTCCACACAGGAGGTTTTCCCAAACATTCCTCAATTCAGTTTATGTTTTTTCCTTTTTATAATCATGGTTTTGTCGTCTTACTTAGAAACATTAAAGAAAAAAAACTTTTAAAAATCCGATTTGAGTATTAGACAGTTTTAAAGAAGTAACTTTATTTAAATTCTGTTTTAAAAATAACAGAAATAAATAAATTCTGCCTGCGTTTTAAGCAATGCCCCTAAAAACAATCCTCCACCTCACAGGTTTCACAATAAGAAAATATATCAATCAGATATCACTCTTTTTTTAATGTTGTGTTTTTTTCCAATTATTTCTTTTCCATTCCCAATTTATCTTCCAATCTTTAAATCTCAGGTAAACCCAGTCTGATTAAATCAACCCCAATCTGAGGCTAAAATAAATATATCAGTCTTTCTGCTTGAGCAGAAACGCTGTGATTCAATCTGCGCGTACACAGAATAAATCTAAAAATATGTATTTCTGCTCATTTTCTGCTATTTCAAATTATCTGATTTATTTTCCCCTTTCCTTTTCATTTAAGTGCACGCGGCGCTACCTCGTAGTGAGAATGACAGTAGTAAAATAATTCGGGGGTTGCAGAGCATGGAAGTATTTATTTAATTCTATTCTGACTCTGCTTTAGATGGATTACCACGCTGAAGCTCTTGGACGGGGCTGATGGATCGCACCACACGCTTAGTCCTTTAGCAGGCTTTGGCACCCAGCGAGGGCCTGAAACAAATAAAAAGATTGTTACCTGATGGCGAGTTGTTAAGCTGCCCACTCCTAAAGGAAGAGCACATGCTCGCGCTGCATGTCTTCCTCTTTCTCTGCACTCCATTCAGGAAATGTCTTACCATTTTGGGATGATCAGATTTAATTCAATCTGTACTGAGGTTTTGTTTTTTGCTTTTTCTTTCTGTCTTTTTTTCCTCTTATAACCAAATGTCTAATATTTCTGGTGCTAATCTTAAACAGTGTGGCAAGAGCTGTGGTTCAGCTAATCCGTCATAAGATTCCTATCATGCACCGGGGCCCTCTTTTGCTATTAGAACTTATCTGATTGGAAAGCTAAACGTGCAGCTGCACATATATACTTTTAGTCAGCATCTGTGCTTTGCTTCTAATAGTGCTGTGCTCTACTAGAGTGTGGTGACTCTTCAAAAGTGCTAACACAGGGTCTTTATTATGCACTTTTGTTTCACACAGAAGGTACTGATGCAGCTTATAAACAGCCACACGCATGCTTAGTATGTTCACTGAACTCTATTGTTATATGACTACAAGGATAAATGTAGTCTGAACCATAAGTAGCTCCAGCATAATAATTGAATGCTTACACTGTTTTTGTAAAGGGAGCGCTTCATTCATAAAAGGATCTTCTTCAGGCTCCAGGGTGGATGTGCAAACCTTTTTACTCTTACTCTAGTTTTATTTATTTACTGCCCGAATGTGTGCGCACACTCATTCTTTTCCTGTAGGTATGACTAAGGCACAGAAACGCTAATAACCCCATGAAATCATTTTCTTATAACAAGCTTGCTCTGCTGGTGGGGAGCCAAACAGAAAAGTGAAGCAGACAAACGCTGTCACAGAGACTGATTGGCAGCCAGGAAGAAAGAGTCAGGGTCTTTTACTTTCTTTTTTCTTTTTTTTTTTTGGAGGGAGAGCACCAGTGCACCTGATAAAATAAGCAATTCAGACACCCCGGGCTCATACTCATGTGCACACACATCGGTTTTCCATACTGAGGGAGGTAAAAGTTGCCAGTGCAGTGCTTAAAGTCTTTTTTACTCTCCTTTTTTCCCCTTTGTGCGTCATTAAGTGTGACATGTTTTATTAAGTCTTCACTCGTGCTACGAGTAATACCTCTTTTTTTCAATCATTAACAGCAAGATTTTCCCACTTTCAGCCAGACCTTTCTCTCTCTCTTTTCTGTCTTTTTATAAGGTCACCTCAGAGTTAAATACAATCTGCAAAGTCATTCTGAGTTATGAAACAAGGGGATTGAGTTTCGCACCCTAAACGGGACCACAGAGAACTTAAATCAGTGTCATATTAAGATGATTCATCACATAAGTGGATGTGCAGCTATGTGACAGCGTGTCAGCGGTTGCGTGCCTTGTCGCACCAGCTGCGGAAGAGTTTCCGCTCAGTTCCACGCCAATGACCAGTCGGGAGCTATCTCGGCTTGTATCTGATGCGGAGCTCGCTTCTCTGGGAAAAGTGAGTCGATTCGGTCAGAACTCCATTCATGCCTGACAGCATGGCCGTACCCTGCTTTCGTTCTCCGCTCTCAAACGCCAAGCCAAACAGGCAAGATAAACTCATTGGCGGAGCACCCCGCCTTGCTGCCTTCGCTTCTTCTCCTTCCACACAGCGAAAGCGGGGCGAGCAGTGCATTCTGGGACAGCCCCTGCGAGTTCAGCCAGGACAGGAAAAACAATGCGACTGTGTTGTTTGAAATGCATAATTTGAAATAAATTCCCCTTGAATATTTTTCTTGCCCTACACTGTGCTGTTTCTTTTAATAAGCGTCTTTATTAAGAGGCTGCCTACGAGTCGTGGGTTAAGAAAGTGTCCGAATTTGGGCTGCAGTGGGTTAATTTCACTATGGATGAACACGTTGAACCGACGTTAGTGTTATATTTCATATTTCTGTCAGGTCGCCGGATCAAAACGTGCCCTTCATCTTGTGCGAGTTCTTTCCAAGGGTCGCTTGTTTTAGTGTAAATATGAGCTCAAATTGACCTAATTTGGGAAATGTTACCCCCGTAGCCATGTAAACTCTGCGTCGGGTAGATCCACTGTTGCAGATAACGTGGTCAGTGATTTGTGTTATTTCACTGGGGTGTTTTTAGTTTTGTTTTTTTCTTTCGTGCAGATTCAGAGTGGGGTGAACAGAATGGCTACTAGGTGCTGTGGTTTTTCAGTTATCATTAGTAAATCTCACACCTTTCTGCTGAAGCGGATCACAGCTGAGGTTTTCTCTCCTCTCACTTTAATGGCTGACTTCCACGGGCCTTGCTCGCTCCTTGGCGTTTGCTTTTCCTGGCAGGGCCAATCCCCGCTGCCCTGCTTCAGGGAGTTATTCAATTATAAATCTTCCACCCTTCTTTTGCTGCCTTTTCTCTCTCTCTCTCTTTCACCGGTCTTTGTGTTACCCAGCCAAGCCCAGTAAAACGCACTGCTCCGCTGGTACACCCCTCTCCAGTCTCGTGCCCAAGAATTTATTATGCTCAGGGTGGTGAAGCGGAGTGCGGTGTGTTTTTGGAAAAGGGACCCCCCCTCGAGCCTCAGTGCCAACAGATGACAGTGACATATAGCAGGAAAGCCACCCAGAAGGAGAATGATCTCACACCTCAGCCACGCGCTCACAGGGAGTGGGAGAAAATAAAGAGTAAAAGATCTACAGCTGGGGGTGGGTGAGTCGAGGGGGGTGGTGGGACAATAAAAATCAGAATGAGAAGAGGAAAGGATGGAGAAACACAGAGGTAGAAAAACAAACAGCAAGTGAACGATCCCTTGAAGCACAGACTTATTCAAATACTTTAGGTTACTTGCTAAACTCGGACACTGTAGTTTAATAACTTCCAAATAAACCAAAGTATGTTAAACCTCTGAGATATTCTCTTCCTACCCTCAGACCTCGGCTTGTCTCCGTCAGCCAAAATCTGGAGGAAATGCACTGCCCCATTAGGCATCTTGAGAAAATCCACAGTTGCGTTCAGGATTATACAGTACATAGATCGTTCTTTTTCTTTTTTACCACATCTGTTCTCAAAAAAACCAAAAAAATCTGCAAAGCACTCGATCTGTGCTTCACTGGGTGGCACTCGATCTTGGCCTTGCTCCCTCCTGTGCTGCTCTCAACCTTCCTGGTGCCCTTCTGTTCCCCAGCTGGCGGCCTCATGCCCTTGCCCTGCCCATGCAGCTTGGCATTACCCTCTCCAATGTTTTTTTTTTTTTTTGGTGTGTGTCTGAAGCAACACGTGCCGGCTTGGCGTCAGCGTGTGAGGTATGCGCTGCAGGTAGAAGTCAGCTTACCACGAGAAACGCTCACCCTTTACAGGCCTCAGATCAGTGTGATGTCACCCACAACAGCCCCTGAACCACTTACTGCACTAAATGAGAGCCATTAGCCGTACAAACAAAGACT